GAGTTGTTTGCTTCGTGTACCGTTGCCACCCAACGCCGAACAACCAACGCCAGAAACGGGCCCAAATCAAGGTTCCGCGAAACTTAAAGGAAGGCCTGAGACCGCCCCTGCGACCAGACCAGACCAGCCCATACCGACCGCCCGATCGTAAACAACAACGACAGAGGTCAAAACCTGCGACGAGCGCATTCATTTAGCTTGTTGTTCCTCACTGCTCGACTATTTGGCCGACTCGACATTCCTTCATATTCATCGTCGTTCGATTAGTTACGTTTCCAGCTCCGATAGTTCCAGCACAGCCCGCTTTGATACACGTTCCTTTCTCTAGTTCGACAGTTTTGCTACCACCTCGATTATGACCAAGCGCATTTTCCCCATCAGCGACTGGGCTCCTGCTCAAGAGGCCATGTTGGAAGCTCCCTCCGAATCTTCGCCGTTGGGCGTCTCGACGCCTGCCCAGACTGCGAACACCACTCTCCGCCCTGAAGCAGCCGCCATGCACACAGGTGCCCCCCCTCGAAACCGCAGCATGAGCCTTTCTATGCCATGGCGACGTCCTAAATCATTTGCTTTTGGTCATGACCATTCCCATTCGCAGCATCTTTCTCGGCATTTCAACGATCTCGCTGTCGACGATACCGAAGACGAGTTCCACGATCTGAACAGCGCCCATCACGAGACCCAGCATCAACACCACTTCCACACTCCAGGTGCCAAGCAGATCAAGGGCATGTTTCGCCGCGCTTCACTCTCGATTAACCGAATGGTTCATCGACGACCTTCGATTGCTGAAGATGTCGAACAAACCGAGACTGGCAGACCTACTACTTCATACAACAATGCGCACTCGACTTGGAGCCGTCTCCGACAAGCAACCGTTCGTCGCTCACGATCGATCTATGGATTCGATCTGAAACATGATCAGAACGCCTACAACTACGAGAACTCGTCACATCTCCCGATTCCCGGTTTCCGTGGCGAGCCACCCGTCATTCCCAGCAACTCTGGAGCTGCTGCTAAGGCCTCAGCTGCTATGCAGAATGAATACCTGGCTCGTCAGGGCTTGTACAACATGTGGTTGAATCCTAGCACCAACGACGAGAGCAACGATCGTGAGAGCGGAATCGGAATTACTGTGACACTTCCTGGAGTCGAGAGCGAGACTGAGATAGAGCAAAATGCTGCTATTAGCACGATCGACTTCATCTCTAGACTTCCTGCAGAGCTCGCTATTCATGTCCTCGCAAACCTCGACGCTCCAGCACTCAACAAGGCCAGCATGGTTTGCAAGAACTGGAACAAGATTGTTAGCAACCAGCACATCTGGCGTGAGTCTTGTCTTCGCGAGACTACTGCCACTTATGCTACAAGTGAGCCCGTTGCGCCTGGAAGTGGTCTCGGAGTTCCTGCTATTTCACCAGCGAATGACTGGAAGGATATTTACCGTGTCAAGCAGGAGCTGAGCCAGCGTTGGAAGACTGGCAAGGCCAGACCTGTCTATCTGAATGGACACAAGGACAGCATCTACTGCCTTCAGTTCGACGAGTAAGTTATTCGGTCCTTTTACAAGTGGTCTACTAACCAGAAAAGGCACAAAATCATTACTGGCTCCCGTGACAAGACGATTCGGGTATGGGATATGCATACCCTTGAATGCACCCTCATCATTGGACCACCCGAGGTCATCGCCGAACCCGACATGCTCATTGACGAGGATGGCAACCCTACTCATTTCGCTTCAGGATCCTCCGACAACGAGAAGTCAAACTTCTCTATGCCTCGCAGTACATCATTCCCTACACATCACATGGCCTCTATTCTGTGCCTGCAGTATGACAACGAGATCCTGGTCACTGGATCCTCCGACTCTACCTGCATCGTTTACGACGTACGCGCAGGATACCGTCCTATTCGCCGACTCCGACACCACACCGCAGCTGTTCTCGATCTTGCCTTTGACGACAAGCATATCGTCACATGCAGCAAGGACTTCAGCATCTGTGTCTGGGATCGCCACACCGGCGACTTGATCAAGCAGCTCCGGGGACACAGCGGACCTGTTAACGCAGTACAGATGCGGGGCAACACCATCGTGTCTTGTTCTGGAGATTTCCGCGTCAAGTTGTGGAACATTGAAACAGGCAAAAATATTCGTGAGTTCACGGGGCACACCAAGGGGCTTGCTTGCTCCCAATTCTCCGAAGATGGCCGATACATTGCATCTGCTGGTAACGACAAGGTTATCCGCATCTGGGATGCCAACACTGGCGAGTGTCTCCGTGAGATGCGCGCCCACGAGAATCTGGTTCGCAGTCTGCACATAGATAGTGTGAGCGGCCGACTGGTCTCTGGAAGCTACGACACTGACATCAAGGTGTGGGATATGGAGACTGGACATCAGCTGCTGGACTTTCCCAAGTGGCACGCAAGCTGGGTTTTGAGTGCGAAGAGTGATTACCGTCGCATTGTCAGCACAGGACAGGATCCCAAGATTTTGATAATGGATTTTGGTGCTGATGTTGATGGTATTGAGAGCATCGAGAGTGCCAGGCCTCTACAGATCGAGGGAGGGTTTATCTGAGCCCTGAGCATGCGACGGAATAATATGATTGGGGGATACTAATATGCCAGACGAACACGATTGAACTGGCTTTACGACTTTATGACATGGAAGGGTTTGCTAGACTGATTTTAAGATGTAAGGCAGCATTAGGGCATGTTGGATGGACATGCTAGGACATGGATGGACATGGACATGGTGCATGCGTGCAACCTCACGGAGCTCATTTGAGATCCGGCGATGGATCTATCGCTCATGAGGATTACTCGCCAATAGCGTTGATGAGCGATCTGGATCACATAGACTGCGTCTGGAGTTTATATAAATGAATTTACTTAACTGTTGCTTTCGAGTCCTGGGGTCTTCCGAGTCTCTGATTCTGTGCTTCGTTTCAAGACGGACGGTGAATTAATTTGTTTAAATGGTTACAGGGTTCATGGCCGATGCGTGAAACAAGGGAGTCTGAGATCCACGGGAACGCGCATCAATATCGAAATGCGGGATGAAAAAGGATGCGGAGTGAAACAGATAGCGTGTGATAGATAGACGTAGATCATGTGAGGGGGACTTTGCATAAACACGCATCCTGAACTAATTAATATATTTCATGTCTGCATGTTCGCAGTTCACCTGACTTTGACGGACTATCCTGTGCTATATCGGGTAGGTGGTATAGATTTAGAGTAATTGTTGTACCACATGCAGGCAACCGTTGACCTTAAATGCGACTCTGTGCTCAGGTTGATGTGCACTGTGAGGTGGTGGATTGGGCTGGAATGCGCTTCATGGTGTGGCGGGATGTGGGGAGCTGTGTTTTGAAACAGGGGACTGCAAGGGGATTTGTTGGCTGTGATGGCTTCAAAGCCACCGCGATTCAATATTTGCGAAGCTCAATGGCATTAATTCAATATCGATAGCTCCAAAACTTGCTTTTCGAGACTTTCATGCTCGGTTCTGGCTCTGAATGGCCTCATAACCGCCACTACAGCGATCCAGTCAAGGAATAAGTGAGGACCCCTACTGTAAATCCCTTTAATTAGCATCACCTCACGTACCGGAGCCACCTCGGCCACAGCATGATTAAGCGCTCAATGTATGGTAGTCGCGCGCGTGTTTGGAAGAGTCCTGGTAATAGCTGAGACGGCGAGGGGGATTCTATGCCGTGGCGCAGAGAGAGTGGGAATGTCTTGGTGATTAAACGGACCATGGCGTAATGCTTCAGTGGGAGAGGAATGTAGTTTCGTATTGTATTGAGTTTCTGAAGCTAAGAGTTGTCGATACCACGTTACTGGTAGCCACGGGTTATCTTTGCAGCGAGAGCGAGGGCGAGAGACTACGCACTTTCTTTGGGTGCCATAGTGAATCATTGTTCTGAGATGCATGATCTGGTGGTTTGGACCTGTGATGGCTTCTTTAGTCTCTATGCAAGGAGAATTGCCGCTGTTTAGATCATGCCCCGGTTCTTTTGATCCGGGAGATGTAGCGTGAGCCACCCGCTGGCTTGTCCGGGGTCGTCCAGTGAAACAGGGCGCTAGACCGATTATGTCCTGGTAGAGGTACTTTCCCTTTTTGTCGAGAGATCAAGGGTGTTCTCTTCGGTAACTGGACGAGCTTGTTCTGTTCCCCTTTCCCGTCGGGTCCAGGTTCTATTCTCTTTTCCTGCATCATCGCCTCGATTCATCATCATCCTATACTCGCCCAACGCATCCTTGATCTCTTTGTATCATAATCATTATCGTTTCATGTTTTGTTCTGGCCTGGTCGGCCTTGTGTGAAACAGTCCGTGATGCTACCATAGCCAATGATGATCACTTTAATCTTGTCTTGCAGCTAGCTTCAGCCCCCCTTGGAAGAGCGAGCAGACATTCAATGGACAACTCCACTCCAACGGCAGGCCCTCAGAGGCAGAAACGGTGGATGGCGTCCGAGGACAGTTACCACGATGAGATCCCTGTTCCTGGTCAGGGCAGCAATAAGGTAAGTCGAGTCAATAGTTCATGTCACATATAATCATCCCAACCGTGTGTGTATATCTACCCTGTCTACTCTACTCTTCCCTTTCTTCCGTTCCATTTCAAGTCAGTCCGAAGCTACCACACCACACCCTCCACCACGACAGTCAGTCTTTATCGTGTGAACACGCGATCGCGTGTGTCTCTCCTTGCCTCTCTTTTTTACTCATTTTTCCTGCTTGTCTGGGACAGCGTCATCTTTGATCACCACCCTCTCTTTTTATTTTGCCTGGTTTTTAAACAACAAGCCAGCGCCCGTCTCTCTCTTGAATATACTTGTTTCTTGGCTTTAAAGATTTTTGGTCTTATTTTCTTTGGCCTATCTACCTGGTAAGTTTCATCAGTGAACAAGCCTCAATATGCAAGCGGAACAAGGGACCAACAACACATGCGAACCCGCTTCTCAAGTGCTGCTTTCGAGCATTGCCGGCCGGTTCATGATCATGTAAACAATTGATTCCTAGTGGTCTCAGCGTTTATAGATCCTTCTCGGCTGTACACCCTTTCGGTGCCACTGTCGAAAGCTGCCGAGATATATCATCACCTGCCTCACTTGGACTCTTACGGCTGTCGACAGTGTCAGGCTGCCAATTCGATTCACACACTGCACCTCACTTTCGTTCCGCCAATGCCATTGTTGTTGTTGTTATTCTCTGCCTTATTTATTCTCGTCTGTTCCTTCGTCCATCCTCTCTTTTTCATCCTTTCTTCACCATTGTGCAGATCATTGTTCCCTTCCTTTGTTCACCTCGATCTACACAAAACCCTAACCAACCCCAAACCTCATCGACAGCTTTCTCGAGCTTGATATTTATTGAGGTCTCTTCCTTTCTCTCACATCACACCGATTTCCCCAATTGACTTGCGTATGGTTTCCTCCAACTTTGTCAAAACAACATACAAAAATACAGGTATACTGACTTTATCCTTCGTAGCCATCTGCAATATCAACACACTCTCTAGAGCGATACTATACCGCTACACCCCAGAAACAACGATTTAGCTGGCTATTCATCGTCATCATGGGGCTTTCGACTATCGTCACGGCCTCCCTCTTGGCCATGCGCCTCTTCACCCTCCCAGCTTCGGCTGCTCCTCAGGCTATTGAGGTTGAGGTTGATGGCGCTGCTCCCGCGGCCTCTGTGTCTACTGCCGCACCGGCCTATCCTGCACCTCCATCGCCCGAGCCTGCCACTCCCAAGGCTCCTGCTTACTCGGCTGCCGCCGCTGCTGGTTCTTGGTGGATGTCCGACATCAAGCGTCAAGGTGTCGTTGCTTATGGCTCCGCCGACTACAAGATCTTCCGCAACGTGAAGGACTACGGTGCCAAGGGTGATGGTAGCTCTGACGATACTGATGCCATCAACGCCGCTTTCTCTGACGGCAATCGTTGTGGTAAGGGTTGTGACTCTTCTACTGTCACTCCCGCTCTCGTCTACTTCCCTGCTGGTACCTATGTTGTCTCCAAGCCTATTCTCCCCTACTACTACACTCACATGATTGGTGATGTCAACAACCTTCCTGTTCTCAAGCCAACTGCCAACTTTGAGGGCATGGCTGTCATTGACGTCGATCCCTACAACTCGGACGGCTCCAACTGGCATACCAACCAGAACAACTTCTTCCGACAGGTCCGCAACTTCAAGATTGATCTCACCGGTATGCCCAAGAGCTCCGGTACTGGTATCCACTGGCAAGTCGCCCAAGCTACCTCTCTTCAGAACATCGTCTTCCAGATGATTGAGGACCCTAGCGACGACAACAAACAGCAAGGTATCTTCATCGACAACGGCTCCGGCGGCTTCATGACCGACCTCACTTTCATTGGTGGTCGATATGGTGGTTTCTTTGGTAGTCAACAGTTCACCAGCCGAAACATGACTTTCCGCAACTGCAACACTGCCGTCTACATGAACTGGAACTGGCTGTGGACTCTCAACGGCCTCGACATCTCTGGCGCCAAGGTCGGCATTGACATGACTGCTGGCGGCAACGTTCAGAACGTCGGCTCTATTCTCCTTACCGACAGCAAGATTGCCAACACTGCAGTCGGTGTCCTGACCAACTACAACCCCGCCCAGCCTGATACCAATGGCACCCTTATCATCGACAACGTCGACATGTCCTCTGCTGTCCCTGTCGCCGTCAAGGGTGGTGGATCTAGCGCTACTATCCTCCCTGGCAACGCCAAGATTGCATCCTGGGTCCAAGGTCGTGCCTACAGCGGCGGAAGTGGTAAAGCTATCCAGGCCACTCAGACTCCTGTCACCAAGCCAAAGGCTCTTCTCGATTCCAAGGGTAACGTCGTCACCAAGAGCAAACCTCAGTACAACAGTGTCCCTGCTTCCAACTTCATCTCCGTCAAGTCCAAGGGTGCCAAGGGTGATGGCAAAACCGATGATACTGCTGCCATTCAGGCTGTCTTCAACAGTGTCCAAGATGGTCAGATCGTCTACTTCGACCACGGCGCTTATGTCATTACCGATACTGTCAAAGTTCCCAAGAACATCAAGATTGTTGGCGAGGTCTGGCCTCTCATCATGGCTGGCGGAAACAAGAACTTCAAGGATCAAGCCAACCCCAAGCCCGTCTGGCAAGTCGGTCAAGCTGGTGATGTGGGCAACGTCGAAATCCAGGACCTCATGTTTGAGACTCTCGGACCTCAGCCCGGTGCCATCTTGATGGAGTTCAACGTCGCTGGTTCTACTCCCGGCTCTGCTGGCCTCTTTGATGTCCACTTCCGTGTTGGTGGCTCTGCCGGTACTCAGCTTCAGTCCGACAAATGCAAGAAGAACCCCAAGGTCAAGGCCGATCCCAATCCTGAGTGCCTCGGCGCCTTCATGCTCTTCCACATGACCAAGCAGTCTAGCTGCTACCTCGAGAACACCTGGTTCTGGGTTGCCGACCACGAGCTCGACCTTGGAGATCACTCTCAGATCAACCTCTACAACGGCCGTGGAGTTCTGATTGAGAGCACCAAGGGCGCTTGGCTGTGGGGTACCGCTTCCGAGCACAGCGTTCTCTACAACTACCACCTTGAGAATGCCTCTAATGTCTACATGTCGCTCATCCAGACCGAGACTGCTTACATGCAGGGCAACCCTGACGCGACCGTCCCTTTCACTGTCAACAAGAAGTACTTCGATCCCGACTTCAAGGCCACCTGCACCGGTACCTCTGAGCGTTGTGCCCGTACCTGGGGTCTCCGCGCTGTCAACTCCAAGGATGTCTTCATCTATGGAGGAGGCCTCTACAGCTTCTTCGACAACTACGACCAGGTCTGTGTTGGTGAGAACAACTGCCAGGACAACATGATCGACATTGAGAGCTCGCAGGTGCACCTTTACGGCATCAGCACCAAGGCCTCTGTCAACATGGTCAATGTTGATGGCAAGTCGGCGGTCCTAGACAAGGACAACCGCAACAACTTCTGCGCTGCCATCGCGCTCTTCTCATCTTAGGAAGATGAAGTCGATGCACCACCCTATGGTGTGCCTCCTTACGCCTAACCAACGCGAAATACCCGAGCGACACGTGCTCATTGCTGATTATGTGCTTTCAACGTGCCTCTGATTTTTCTTTCTTCTTTTTTTTCCATAGGGTCTTTTTTGTTCCAGGATGGAACTGGAGTTTCGGATAGTAAGCGATGAAAAACGCTTTTGATATGCACCTCACCTTTGAGTAGACAGGGTAGCTGAATGAATCAAGTTGAGACAAGAAGTGTCGTCTCCAGATGTGAAATTGCGATGAGTCTGATGTGATGTGCTATGCAATACTGTGATGTTATGACATAGCCAGATGTGATGATGTTTGTCCGCGAGACGTTGTGGTCACAAGGCACTTAGTAGAGGACAAGGGACAAAGAATGACATGAAACAAGAGTAGACTAAAAAAGAACTAAACTAAACGCAAGTCAACGTTGCATATCGACTGCCTCTGCATAAGGAGGAATCTGAAAAGGCAAAAGGATGCTAATGGAAATCGAACCATCGAACCAGCAAAAGCGAAGCCGAGTCCCGAAGGAGATGGGAGGCGGAGTGGTAAATGGAAGATGTACACCACTCCGCCAAAGTTCATTTTTAGCTACTTCGCTGAACGAGAGAGTAATAGAATGGAATATCAAGGCTGATCCAAAGTCTTGGAGGGAGATTAGCGCGGCGCCGTGGCGCTGATGCTGCCTGGTCTGGGTGCAGGGGTGGTGATGATTCACGGCTGAACGATAAGGCTGCCAGACTGAGCCCAGCAGATCCAGGCACAGTGAACATGACTGGGGTTTAAGGGAGTAAATAAATTGTTAATATATTTTCTGTATATATTGCTTAAAATGGAGAAGAGTGTAAAATTGAGAGGGAAAGGTACGGCGTGGTTGCAAAAGTGAGAGCTTAAGGGTAGCTGATATTCGAACTCATAACCAAAAAGCGAAGTCTCCCGAAGGAGATGTTTATCTGGAGATCGAACCGGATTTCGGTTGAGTTAAAGATGTAGCTACTTCGCTGGTAGTATTGCCTGTTAGTATGGTCTATAACCTATGGATGGTGTTGGCTGAGGAGCCCAGAGCTTTTGCAAGACAACAGGGAGCTTGCCTAACTTCGGAGATGCTGTCACAAGTAAACCAATGCAGTATCTACATGTTTACTACATCATGTATAATGGTATTGTTTTTCAGGTGCAGAAAAGTACAAAAAAAAAAAAGGTCAGTATGGGCATTCCTTGTTCACATTGCGCCTCGAACAGGGACTCTGGCCTGACAAAAAGCGAAGGCTTTACATCCGGAGATGGTCAAGCAAGGTCTGTTCAACTGAGCAATTGGTTGGTATTTCTCGCTACTTCGCTGGTATCTGTTTGTTTGCTTTGGTATATAACAGACTGTTGTTTGTCGCTGTCGTTGTTGGGTGGAAGTGGTGATGTGCTGCAGGGGTTGTTAGCGGGTGTGGGGTTCTGAAGCCGGCGTTGAGTCACCTCGCCGAGATCTGCGAGGACCCCGGCAGACAGCACTTGACTTGTGAGTAGCTGTCTCTTTCATGCATACTATCGGCTCGTAGACACTAGTTGATCAAACGGAATGTCAACTATTTACTTAATGCTCTCATATGAACAGTCACGGTATATACTGAACGATTGGTGATATAGAGTTCTGCCTAATCTGACCGCCTACTGTACCGTATTCTTTCGGCTAGATCTCCCGCGGTTGGTGCCATTTGACTACCCCGATAACTCACTCTCATCTTCCAATACTCGTTGTATTGCTTGCTTGAGCAAAATGTCGTGGACAAAGAAGAAGACAACAGGGCCTGCACCACCTCAACTTTGTTTCACACCCAAGTTGTCAGAATGGAATGAGGGAAAGCGGGCTTCTAATAACGGCCGGGGCACTGATGATGCTCTCACTGTGACCCGAATCCTTGAAGCAGCCGATATCCCATGCTGTATAGTCGGTACCAGTGCTCTCATATTTTATGGAGCTGCCAGAGTGCGTCACGTATGTTTATAGGTTTCTATAATATGGATGATTCTGTTGATGCTCGATAGCACTGGGAAATCTGCGTCCCAACGCATCTCGTTGATAAAGCGGTTGCATTGTTACAGTCAGAACCTCATTCTGCCACTTACCACCTCGCGGAACCCTGGGACACACCAAGCTCATCTCTATTGCATACTTGGCACCGCTTCAATCATAATGAAACCGATTTCTGCTTTGTCATTGTTCCCGACAGGGATGTCCATATTGTATGCGAACCCTCTAACTTCACCCGTAGCCTTCGAGGACTACCGTATCCCAAACTGGACGTCTTTATACAGAGCTGTCTAGACACAGGCGACGAACTAAAACTCTGTGATGTGATTGATGGTACAGACCTGCCAGAGGAATGGGGAGAAGAGAATCTTGAACTGGACGGTACAAACGATGTTGACTGGGCCATTGAGGCAAACAAGAGAGGTTCAGAATTCCAAGACGAGCAGTTTGCGGGTTGGTCGATTTTTGCGTGCAAACCAAAAAGCAGACGAACTATGTGGCAATCATACGTACGAACGAAGAAGGACAGATTGGATTGGACCAAGCCGAGCCATGTGTTTACTACCCAATATCGTATTATCGATACCCCGGACTCATGGACTGTTCTTTCGGATGATTACTAGAAACACATAGGGTGAAGTGATGATGTGGTGTCAAAGACTGCGCAGTCCAAAAATAATGAAAAGGTTCATACATTATAGCCTAACCCCCAGGAAGCAAGAAAATAGTAGACCCTAATATAAATATAAAAATAAATTCATAAAAGGTATCCTAAACTTATCCTAAACTCACTAAACTTATATTAAATTACCTAAGTTCTTCTATTACTTGAGGTCCGAAGTTTTCTTTCCTCCCCTCGCCACCCCACATCTAGTCCAGTCGAAGAACCTTTTTCATGTTCTTGCATGCCTCCTTGCTATTATCAAGCTTGAAGACATCGTAGAATTCACGACGCCAGTTCTCTGACAGATGCTCGCTCCATGTTCTGATTTCATTGCCGTATTTTCGAAAAAGGAACGTAAGGTCCTGAAAGTCTGATTGCTTCTGTCTTGAGATCCAAGTTCCCAACTTTCCTTCGACCTGCCAAGTCAGGGGGATTACCGGAACCTGATTGCCTTGAGGTGTTGCAAAGTGAGGCGTGATGAGTTCAAGAGAGTCTTCGTCTCCTAGATCGGGGGTGTTGAGTTGGCCTGATGGGTGAGTTTAGTTAGTTAGTCACGCCACACATAATATGCCCCCTTCTCTTTTACCTGAAAGAACAATATCCACTCCAACAAGCTGGCCGTTTTCCCCAATGTCCACAAACATCCTCTCCTGGATGCTACCCATGATCTCATAATATGAGAGAATTGGCCTAGAGCCTTATGTTAGTCCACCCTAACGCGAATAGACAGAAATGGCGACACCTACCAGCTGTATGGGGATAATATTGCCCTGACTTGGCGAACGTCGGTCGCTAATACGAGAAGATCGAGGTCGCGGGTCTCGCGCTCTGAGCCTCGAAGTTTGAGAGCCCAGCCGCCAAACCACGCATATCGTGTCTTGCCATCAAATGCTGCCTGAAGCATAGCAGCAGCCTTTGACATCTGCTTGTTGGTGGCTCTTACAGCATTACGCTCAAGGTCTCTAAGTTCTGTTGGAGTGGCTTGGCCAAAGTATCGAGCCATGTTGGATGTGAAAAAGATATGGGATGAAAGTGATGTTATACAGTAATAGGACCAAATGGGTGGGAAATGCAGTATGTCCTGGTATTTTAAAGTTTTGGGCTGAGAACTGGAACTGATAGCCTGGACATGATAGACCAGCTCGAGGAATTCCCAGCATATTTATACATCTAGCACGAAGTTCTCTGAATAGCAACACCGGGTTCTGAGGCGGAACGATGTCGTGATGCCTTGCCATTTGCCTCCACCTGTTCCTGTTGGCCTGCTGCCAGGCCGTCAGCGCTTGGGGCCGCATGAACTCAGCCAAGCGGCCAGACAAACCTAGCCTCCCTAGCCTCTCATCCGCCATCATGTATGTCGACCTTGTCAAAATGCAAGTGATGTTCGGAACATTTAATGAGGCTATGGCACGGTGCGGTAAAGTCGTGCCAGGATCTAGCCGATAATTCTTTGATTGGGAATTGCTTGCCGCGTGATTGTGATACCCTGTCTGCCTGTGATCTTGCCAGAGTCCACTGATCCTTTCAAAAGACTCACTCCTTATGGTAAAAGAAAGCAGTTTCACATTGAGTGACACAGAAATTCCATTCATTACTCGGTGAAACAACATTTGTTGCTGGAGTATTTCTCTTGGGCATGGACTCGAACCTGCAACGATAAAAAAAAGCGAAGGAAGTGTTCTGGGATTCCGGACTCCCCACTCGACCACGTTGGGACTTAGTAGTGTTCTTAAGTTTTGAGTGTGCAGCTACTTCGCTGGTGGACAAGTCATTTGTTTTGGTATATAAGGGTATGCGGGTTGCTCTTAAAGTTATATGGCCAAACCTACTGCTTGTGGCTCTGGAGTTTATGGCCTGAAGATACGTGAAGAAGCAAAGAATCTATGACACCAACGTTTCTATTTCAAATGTGAACTCTCATCTTAGTATGGGATGTATGAAAGGAGAAAGATGAATATGGTCGTGTTAAAAAAGGAGTTCAAGGGTTCGAACATACGATGTGACGAGCACCAAAAAGCGAAGGCAACGAGGCGTCTGCTCCCCGCTGCGTTATACGTGATCCTTAGTATGTATTTTTGGCTACTTCGCTGTCAGTAGTGTTGGAAATTGTAGTATATAAATGTATGTGGGCAAGTCGGGCCCTCAAAACGCATAATGATCATCACTTAACAGCAGCAACATATACACAGGGAATTTCACTATAACTACGCATACCACACGCATCAAAAGAAAGACCTGTTTAAAGAGAAGGAAGCAGAAAGAGGAAGAAGGTAAGAGCGTAGTGGAAGAATAGGACTCGACCTTGCAAAGTGCCGAATGATAAGACAATAAAAGCGACGGGAGCGCTATGCTCTATCTAAGTCCACCTGCCGTCAATGAATTTGAATCATGCTCCTGCTACTTTTCTTGCTGGGAAATATATAATTGTAGTATGAGAAGGTATCTCATGGCTGGTATCTAAATTCTGTATCCATTCATCTTGTGAAGATCACTGTAGGCACCGAGCTTGCACATCACATTACGGGATAAGTCACTCTTCGGTCCCAATAACGATAAAGTTAGGTATCTGCTTATCCGAAACGATCAAATTAAGACATTGTTTCTATCTTTGGCTTGATCTGGCTGTTTGCCGGAACAACAAGTCAGGTCTACAGCCGCTTGTTCCGGTTGGCTCACACATCTATTCATTGAACTACCTGGGTGCTCAGAATGACAGCAGACTCTAGATATGAGTGAAAACGATGCAGAAACCCTGGAATATCCTTTACTGAATATTCCCGTGAAACAGGTTCTTTAGCGATATGGGCTCGTTAGCATGTGTACGGCGATGTGGAAGATGACAAGGTTGAAAGCTAAGACATGATCATGGCTGAGAGTATAAAGCGAGATGCAGTCAGCGATGAGCAGAATGACCGAGAAGACTTCGAAAAGGCTGTTTAATTCTGCCGGGAACATATCAACTGTGCGGATGGACACCCTGGAGTTCTTGAGATAATCTTCCAGGTCGATAGGGAGGATGTCAGTGGGATCAAAGTTCCTGATGTAGGCTAGATACTCAAAGAAGGCTACAGAGTCATACTGCCAGAGTTGCCGTGGAGTAGTGGGCAAAAGAAAGACAAAAAACTAGAATGTGATGGCCATTACAGGACTCGAACATAGAGTCATAAACACTGTAAGAAACGAAGGGTGGATCCGGGATTCCGGACTCCCGCTACACCAAGAGGTTCATCTTGTAAGTTTCTGGCTACTTCGTTGAAAGCTACTGTTTTAATTTGGTATATAACAAAGCTTCCAGGTTGGTCCTTGTTGTCTGTAGTCTGGTCAAAAGGGGTTGTTGCTGCCTGGGACGTGTAGGCAGCAGCCGAGGCGCAGCACAAGTAGCGACCAACATCGTTGGATAGACAGTTCGAGAGGCCTCACTTTATTTTGCTTTTAGAAACTTTCTCATTGATGAAGAGGAGGCCCCTGTTGAGCTGAATGGTTGAGTTTGATCTGAGCCGTCTGACCATGGCTCAAGGGTCGGTCATCCGAAGCAGACCAGCACACGATCGCCAACGCCATCACCTGAGACACGACGACTCCACATCATGACACTGCAGTAAAACAGAAGATCAAATGGATGAGATGTCGTATTGAAATGGCCTTGATTGAACTCTCTGTTCCATCGATGGGCAAGTGTCTGTTCAGATGGGACAGCGAGCTGAACCCCTGACTTACGCCAAGAGTATTCTTTACTCGATTATACAAGCCTTGAATTATTCAAGACCCAAAATCACAGTATTAGTGACGGAAAAAAAAAGAGGCGTGCTTCGAACACAGGCAAAAAGACAAGGAGTGGGTAGCGGGAGAGAGAGTTTTTAGGAGCGGATTTTAAGATTCATAGGTTCTAGGACGTATACCGCTACACCACTCCTTATCGAGAGGGATACATTAATTCTAATATTTAACACTCTACCCTGGCCGAGTTGCGAGTTGCGTTCATGCGAGCGAGCCCGCCACTTACACCATACCACACGACTTACCGGGTCTGGTCACCAAGACCACGAAAAAATACCCCTGAGTTTACTGCATTATTATATGCAACCTATACGTTAGCTTACAAGGAGCTCAGGCTTGGAAACAAGCTATAGCAAAAAGAAATGCCACAAGAGAAATAATAACAGTAGAAAAAGAGGGCACAAGGAGCAAAGAATAAGAAAGGGAAGAATAAAAAAAAGAAGAGAACAAGAACTTGGTAGAAGTGGTAAGTGCGAGGAGTGGTACAGGGTCGGAGGGAGGGTCAGAGGATTCGAAGGAGAGGAAGGATTCGAAGGAGGGGGAGGATTCGTAGAAGAGGGCCTCGAAGGTAGGGTCGTAGGAACGGGGGATACCACTGTACCACTCTTGGCTGGGGGTATAGAGAGTGATTTTGGCATATAAGGGTATGTCCTCTGGTCTGGGACACAAGACCCCAGTGCTGGTAGGCTGTCGTTCTAGGCAGGGCAAAGCATGCTTCTGCCTAACTGAACTATGACCCTCCTCCCTGCCCCCTTTTCTGACTTGGCCTCATATTGAAGCTGCCATGAAGGCCTTTACGTCAAGAGCCAAAGTTTGAAGTTGTCCTTCTCATTACATCCTCAAGTCGCCCCTAAGTCGTGCCTTCGTCCAACCGAGGTTGAGTAGACATATACCTTTTCTCACAGCGTGCTTGTAACAACCCTCTTTCAAAACCATGTATTCGACTAGCCATTATGGAAATGGACTGGCAAAAAGGAAGAAAATAACTGAGTATCGTTCAACTTGAGCAAAAAACGAGGAGCGGTGTAGTGGGAGAAGGAATTGTAGGAGCGGATTCAAGAGTTTTTAGGTTCTTAGGTTATAGGAGCGGATACCACTACACCACTCCTCGCCGAAGGATATAGATGTGATTTTGACATATAAGGTGTAGAGTCGGGGACTGGTGCTACTCAGCAGCCAAATGCAAGATATCATGCACCAGTGAGGGCAAGGAGGATATTGCCCATGTGTGTTAATTGTCTGTTTGTGATGGGCCGAAAGCTTCTCTTGTCCTCTCACCTTTATCACATGTGCTTTCCAAAGGGAAAAAGGAAATGTCATGGGAGACACTCGAAGTCGTGACTCTGGCAAAAAACAAAGAGCGGGATCCAGTGGGTTGAGAGAGTTTATAGGAGAGAGTATGAAGATTTTAGGTTAATAGGATGCGGATTCCCACTAGACCACACGCTCTTTGCTGAAAACAATATCAGTGGTTTTGGTATATAAGGGGTAGGCGGCCACGTCGTGCTGAATGGCATGCCATACGTTGATCATCGATGCAGCGCCTATATCAATGGCATGAGTGTCCTTGGAGGTGGGACATGATCGTGTTCTGAACCGTGATGGTAAAAAGAGGATTTGATCGCCGAGGGTGAGGCCTGCAGATGGGCTCATCATCAAGCACTGGTCTGCCAAAGGTGCAAAGCGGAGGACAAAAAAAGGGGGCTCCTTGTAGAGAAGGATTCGAGGTCGAGAGCCATGACAAAAAACGAGGAGTGGGTAGTGGGTGAAGAATTTTTAGGTGCGGAATGAAGAGAGTTTATAGGTTCTAGGACGTATACCACTAGACCACTCTTCGTTGGTATAAAGAGTGTTTTTGGTATATAAGGGGTAGGTGTCCCATGGTCTGTGCAAGGTCCGCAGGCAGCTGCGGTCAGCATTGTGTCGAAGTAAGGCGGATCTTTCGCCACCTTGTAACTTTCCCCAGCCTAAAACTCTCTTTATGTGGCAGACTTCGTCGTCAGATGGGCTTAGGCAATTGTGTGGGTAGTTGGTATGCTGCCTCAGCGGTGCTTATGGTAACTTGCATCACACTCCTTACTTGAGACAGCTGCAGCAAGCAAAGTTATCAGGCGAGTCGAAGAAATTCCTTCCAGTTTGGCCGTTCTCGGGGAATGTTGTCGTGTTTTTGCACCGCAAAAAAGAACAACGCCAAGAGTCATTCGAACTCATGGACGGCAAAAGTGAAGAGTGGCCTAGTAGGAGACTGTTTTTTAGGTGCGGTTTGAAGAGGGTGTATAGGTTTTAGCTGCGGTACCACTAGACCACTCTTCGTCAGGGATAACTGTGCTTTTGGTATATAAGGGGTAGGTGTCGAGTGGCCCCATCTAAAGCTCGGTGCCCCCTCGTTCAAACAGGGCGATGGCATATAAAAAGAAAGTCTGATTCGATGTTCCTGCAATCTGAGAACGTTCTTATACGGTTATATCGCAAAAAGAATGACATTAAATGTCATTCACTCAAGATCGACAAAAACGAAGGGAGGTTCTGTAGGATGAGGATTCGTAGGGCTGGATTCTGGACAAGATTCGTGGGTATGGAGGTTCGTAGGTTGTAGGAAGGGTATCGCTAGTTCACGGTTCGGTGAAGGATAGTGAGTGATTTGACATATAAGGGGTAGATGTCGACTGTCTCTATCGGAGCTTTGTGACCCCTGTGCCAAACAAAGTAACCAATACAAAAGAAAAGTCGAAGTCCATATCGCTGCAATCCAGCGATCGTTCTCGTATTGTGAAGTCGTACCAAAAAAAAAAAAGAAGGCCATCGACTCTCGTTCGAACTCGTGAACGGCAAAATGAAGAGTGACCCAGCGGGAGAAGGATTTTTAGGGGCGGATTTTAGAGATTTTAGGTAAGATTCTAGGATCTAGGACGGATACCGCTAGGCCACTCTTCGGAAGTGTGGTGAGTGCTTTTGGTATATAAGGTGTAAGGACGGAGGGACCGTACTGCCAGCGCTGCAATGGCGAGGCGATTGAGGCCACCTGACCAGACTCCTCCAGGCAACTACCCTCAAATGATCGAGCACTGAACAAGACCCAACACTGCCCCAAGGGTACTCTTGCGCAATGTGAGTGGAATCAGGAATAACCATTCATCATCAACAATGTCATGGTCTTCGTACACTCCGTGGCATTTGGTATGGACTGGCTGTCATATACCCCTGAATCGATATCTTCGTCACCCAAAACTATTGTTCAGTCGTTGACAAGCGAAAAAAGAAAGATCGTGTTGAGATTGTCGTGTTTTGGTATGATCCGGCAAAAACGAAGAGTGGTGCAGTGGGAGAAGGAATTGTAGGAGCGGAGTTTAGAGATTTTAGGTTATGATCTTAGGATCTAGGACGGATACCACTGCACCACTCTTCGGAAGGGTAGTGAGTGTTTTTGGTATATAAAGGGTAAGGACGACGAGCCGTGCTGGTGCCTAAGGTGCAGGCCGCCCTCAAGGTGTGTCAGCCTCCCAGGCCCGCCCCTGATCAGGACCTGCCTGCTGTCGATTGACTGGCACAATGACATGCACTCCGTAATATCGTTTGTGCTCCTCGTCGTGTGAGCAGAAGTGACCTTCTCATTGTCCTGTCTCATCTCGGTCATGAGTCCTTCTCGGCTTGGTGAACAAGCTGGTATCGACTAGAAACAAAATGACACCGACGTTGCTTGTCGCGGTGGCTGTCGCTTGGTCGGTTTGCTGGCTGGGAGAGCAAAAAGAAAAGCGACTTCGTTTCCATGCCGAAATTGTGCCATCCGGCAAAAAACGAAGAGTGGTACAGTGGGTGAAGGAGGAATTGTAGGAGCGGATTTTAGAGATTTTAGGTTTATGATCTTAGGATCTAGGACGGATACCACTGTACCACTCTTCGCCGACAATAATAGAGTGGTTTTGGTATATAGGGGGTAGACCTCCACGTCCCGTTTAACGCCAGATCACCCAAAGAATCGACCAACAGATCGGACCGGCTTGCAAAGTGCCTCATGTCTGCCTACCATCAAGCTTTCCGCAAAGGCTCAAGCGTACCCGCCAAACAATCTCGCCTCCTGCCTGCATGGAGCATCACGGCTTCGTTTCAATGGCACTTATTGACAGGTCACGGAGTTCCACCATATGTCTGTTGTCCAAACGAAAGTCGTCGATGTTGTGAGACGTCGTAAATGCTTGTTCATGTTCATCCCTGCGTTCGAGCGCCGTAAAGCCTGCAGGGAAATAAGAAGAAAAGGAGTCGACTGAAAAGATCGAGGTGCCAAAAAGGAAGTCGAAGCACATGGCAAAAGCGAAGAATGGTGTAGTGGGTGAGAATGGTCTTAGGAGCGGATTTTTAGAGATTTTAGGTGACCTTAGGAGTAGGACGTATACCGCTACACCACTCTTCGCATCGGTATAGAGAGCGATTTTGGTACATAAAGGTAACCCCCTCCATGGTACGTATCGTCGTGGCATGGCCTCGCTGCGTTCGAACGTCGTCAAAAGTTGACCAGATAAGTCCGCGAAAAAATAGATCAGATGTCCAGACCAGAAGAACAAAAAGTTGAGTTGAATGGCAAAAGCCGAAGAGTGGTGTAGTGGGAGAAAGATCATAGGAGCGGAAAGAAGATTTTTTAGGTGATCATAGGAGTTTAGGAGCGTATACCACTACACCACTCTTCGGTACTGGTATATAGAGTGATTTTGGTATATAAAGGTAAGACCTAGGGGTACATGTTGACATCAGGGGGTATAGTTGCCGGTCGAACGTCGTGGGATTTAGCGAAATAAATCCAGGGAAAAAATATGTGACAGGTCCGGGCCATGCGACAAAAATTCGAGCCAACTGGCAAAAACCGAAGAGTGGTGTAGTGGGAGAAGGATCATAGGAGCGGATTTTAAGAGATTTTAGGTGATCATATGAGATTTAGGAGCGTATACCACTACACCACTCTTCGGTATGGGTATTGGGCGGTTTTTGGTATATAAGGGTAGGCATGGTCGTCTCGTGGAGGGCGCAAGGTGCAGTGGGCGTGGTTCGTGGGTGAAGCGAGAACGAAGAAGGTTTCCGTGCGTTCGGAGCGGGCGAATGAGAGAGGTCACGACATCGTGAGTTTAGTTAGTATGACTCTTTGGGATGAGTCATTAAAAGCGTATTCGGTTTCTCGAGGCTTTCATGATCACTTGATCACAGACACAGCCCAAAATAATATTCGTCGTGTTCGTCGTCGCAGCATTTCGTCGTGAATTTGCAGGTTGAAGTTGTCATGATGAACCCCACCTCAAATAATAATTTACAGACGTCAGAAGTCGGAGCTTTCTTTTTTCCGGCCACCACCATTAGTCTCTGAGCTTCCTGGAGCTTCCTTGGCGGCAGCCCACTACTAGCGCGAGTACGTAGACGTCATCGCCTCAAGCCAACTGTCCCATCGTCAAAAACGCGACCAAGGCCAATCTGGCGCCACTTCCTACAAACCTTCTGCCTCTCTCCAAGCCTGTCATTGACCTCTCCTAATGCTTTGGCTCTCTTGAGACTTACTCTACGCTTGTTTACAATGGTCACTACCCGACGTGCTGCGAGGGCGGCTGCTGAAGCGAACGATACAGTTATGGATTCTCCCTCAAGATCGACTTCGACACCTCGCTCGTCTCCTTTCCTGCCGACACCTCTAGAGAGAGCTGGGCTTGTAATATTCCCAGCTCTCTTGATCTTCGGAACCATCTTCTCCATAATCTCGCCGCAGACACGCGCCGCGCCGTACGATCCTATCGCGCAGTCGCATTTCCAAGATCCCAGCGTGTCTCCGAGCTACTTCGCTCGCAAGTCCAATCTTTTCAACGTTCTCTTTGTCAAGCGAGGCTGGGCATGGATCACTGTTGCATTCTTTGTCTTCATTTTCAGCCATCCTAGCACCACTGACACCGGACGACGTGTTCGCGCGAGTCTACGATGGGTTGCTGTAACAACACTGTGGTTCCTCGTGACGCAGTGGTGTTTTGGACCTGCTCTGATCGACCGTGGTTTCCGATGGACAGGTGGGCGCTGCGAGCTCGCTCGAAGAGAGGTTGAATTTGGCTCCGATACTGTTGGTGATAAGGTCACAGCAGTAGCCTGTAAAGCTGCCGGTGGTAAATGGAAGGGAGGTCATGACATATCGGGCCACGTCTTCCTCCTGACACTGGGTACTGCGTTTCTCATGCAGGAGGTCGGTTGGGCTGTGTTGAGATGGTCTGGCAAACGAAACGAGGAGCGATGCGTCGTTATGACCGACGGAGCCCTCAAGAGCGCTAATGTCGAATCTGATACATCTCTGGGCGAAGGTTCCGAGCGACCTGCCTTAGGTCTCGGTGGCAAGTTCGCCGTGGGTGTCATGGGATTGAGTGCTTGGATGCTACTCATGACGGCTATTTACTTCCACACATGGTTCGAGAAGGTGAGCAAAGCCCGAGTAGTCTTTCAAGATGTAGTTGCTAACGACTCCCAGTTTACTGGACTCTTGACCGCGGTGACGGCCTTTTACATTGTGTATATTGTGCCTCGCTTTGTACCTGCTGTTAGACAGGTCATTGGTCTTCCTGGTATATAGAAAGAGACAGGGGGTGATGAGTTATGAGTTATGCAGGTGGAGTACGTAGATGTAAGATAGAACGAATTGCATAATCCCCCTGTAGTAGCATCAACCGGCTCTTTACAGGTTTGTTTCATGTTGTCTCGTAGCACTATACTTGATCAACGACAGATGAACTACTCCAGACCTATCGACTAATATCCATTGTGATGTCATACTATAGGACTGTCATATGTAGGCAGATGCTCTAGCTGCATGACTGGCTATTTATCTCCTCCGTCGAGCAGAGGACTTCGTCTTCTTGAACTCATCCTTAATCTCATCCAAAAGCCCATCAACCGTCAAAACATCCACAGCAACACCAGCGAGACCCTTCGCCACCATAAGTGCCTTCTCGAAAGCAGGCTTGCTTCCCGCTGCGACCTCGAACGGCGCAGTGTGAGGGCCACTCTTTGGAACCGTGCCATTAGCAAAGGTGATCTGAAACATTGGGCTGATAGCTGGGAAGTCCTGGCTGATATTGCCTTGGTCAGTTGAACCACCGGGCTCTCGCATCTTGTCGACATCAGCATCGGGGAGGTCACCGCCAAGCTCCTCGAACCAACGTGTGTATGATGCAGCGAGGCCATCATTATTGTTCATGTTGGCGTAGCCGTATGGTCGTGTTGTGAAGTTCATCTTTGCGCCTGTGCCGAGAGCACCAGCCTTGAAGCAGTTGTACACACGGTCTGAGAGCTCTTCGAGTTGTTCCTCGTTGGCAGCGCGGAGCTGGTAGCTTCCTGATGCATCGGCGGGAATGACGTTGATACGAGTCCCTACTGAGTGGATGATTCCATGGACACGATCTGTTGTGCGCATCTGCTGGCGCATATAGGACAGGGCACTGTTGGCGAGGAGGAGTGCGTCTTGTGCATTGATTCCCTCCCAAGGTCCGGCTGCAGCATGAGCCTCACGACCTGTGTACTCAACATCGACACGATCTGTTGACTGAGCCAGCATGTACGGTGTGTCGGGGCCATTGCTGGGATGTGAGATCAGAGAGATGTCAATCTTGGCGTCCTTGAAGACGCCAGCTTCGAGCATCTTGACCTTTCCACCGAGAGATTCTTCAGCTGGCGTGCCAAAGAGAATGACCTTGCCACCAAGCTTCTCCTTGCGCATGATCTCAGCGGTTGCAAGAGCGCCACCTAGCGATGCTGTCGCAATCAAGTTATGGCCACAGGCATGTCCCAGTCCTTCCAGCGCATCGTACTCGGCATTGAAGCTCACGACAGGACCATCGCCTGAGCCATCAAACACGGCCATAAAAGCAGTGTCGATTCCACCGACTGTATCGGTCACGTTCCATCCCTTCTGTTTCTTCATGAACGATGTGAGAAGTTTGTGAGCTTTGAACTCCTTATATCCAAGCTCAGGATTGTCGTGGATGTTCTTGTTGATTGACCAGAGCTCTTTATCGAGTGAGTCGACGTAGTCTGAGACTGCGTCTGTGTATGGACTTGTAGCATTCTTCTTTTGGCGTGCTTCAAGGGTGGTTTGAAGTGATGAGGCTGGGGTTGCGAGGAGTGTGAGGCCGAACGCAAAGGCTGCGAGGCCTCTGGCATGATCTAGACAGACCATTATAATGTCTTATTCTTCGATATGTAACGACATCAATTGGAGTCGATGTTGGGGATTTTATTACCGTACTCCAAAGATACTAAGTATCACGAAACCTGGACAATGTGTAACAGACTCGCCGTCGCATTGCGGACATGGCAATCGCCCGAACTTATAAGTCACGGCCGTTCTGATCTCCAATATAACTCACTTAGGCGAACCATGATTGCCTGCATCCTCGTTATCACTTCTTTTGGCCGTATCTCAATTGCTCCTCAGTCTAGGACCTAGAATTGTTGCCCGAGACTCCACCTCGCAAATCCCCCGCCCAAGACGTTCTACAGTTACCTTCCTAACTGGGGTATCAATTAAGCAAATCTTTAGAGTTATCAGTTAGTTGAACCTGGGTCGTATCGTCACCCCGCTTCGTGGGTCTCTTATTCCCTGCGATGAGTTCGTCTATGTAACCATAATCTTGATATCGATAGCCGGTGCGGCACCGACCCAACATCAGATTGCCGGAATGAAGATTGCAAGCTTCCGAGGGTTTGAGTAATTGATATGGTGTTCTCCATAAGTTCTCCATTACCGTGGTCTAAAGCCGGCCAGCATCCGCGGCAATATTGACCGCCGTTTGTCGACAAAGTAGGGTTTGTGTCGGAGGCCTATACATATATACTCATTGGAGGAGGATTACGTATCACGGTTAGTTCAAAAGAGGTTCTATCATCTTGTACGAGGAGGTGAGCCTTGAAGTGGAAGGGCAGAGGTGGTAATCATTTATTCTGGTCACTAAGTCACTAAGGAGGTAGTTGTACCCATCAAGTAGCTATTCGATGGGTTGTCTCTAAACGAATTCCAGATACAAGCTAGATCGAAAGGTCGGCTAGCCGTTATAGCACCCAGGAGTCATGATAGTTGCCTTGAAATAGTCATTCAATGCCCATTTTAGATAGACTCCCGGTGATGTATGAGATTGAAAAGGCTCGACAATTCAGAGCTGTTCACAGTTTTGGGTCTTTAATGGGCTGATCTGCGCTCACTGAGTCGTCGGTGGAATCTTCGTCTAAGATGCCTGGCATGTTTGGGGCCGGCTCTCCTGGCGCTGGGCAAGAGATGGGATAAGGTCTCGCAGAGGAAACACACGCATGTAACTCCCAGTCGTCCCAGTATTCTTCATCGATAGCTGCAACGGGAAAGACATAAGTGTCAGCCTCTACACTCATACCATTCTCCAAGAAAACCGTGATAGGCATGACAACTCGCCGAGGGCTGTTGTAATGATATTCCTGCCGTTGCTCTAGGGTTTCACAGATCAAAAGAAGGCCCGGGATCTCTTTGGGGCCAGGAGACTGTGATGGAGAAGAATCTATAGCACTTCCTTTGTATGGCAGGACTGAGAAGACTGCAACAGGCTTTATCATAGAAGAGATATATCCTGTGTTGGAGAAGGAGCCGGTCAGCTTGACAGAGAGAAGTCTGATACGGTACTCGTCATTGCCGCAGATGAAAATTGGCTGGATGGGTACAGAAGCCATGGCGGAGGCTAGGAACGTTTGACAAAAACTTAGAGTCGAAGAGACGAGAAGGATTGGGTATAAACTCAAGGATAGTGAAGAGAATAAAGGCTGTGCTGGAGACCAGGAGTCAAAACTATCAAGGTGAGATACCAAGGCAAATTTATACTCAAGAGTATTGTGGGCAACTCCTTGCTCGTGTAAGATATTCATTCAATGTTGAGGTCATCCCCATACTAGCCTTGTGTATGCAATGCCTCTTTGATCAATCAAAGCCTCAAAGGCCTGTGGTATGTTGCAGCCAAAGAGTAGGTGCTAGGTGACTAGCCAAGAAAGACAATAACATATCAAAGAGAACTTCAAAGGGATATTTTTGTTATTTTGAATTGAATTACGAAACGAAGAGTAGAGTTGACTATCAGAACCTATAAACAAATCACATCTAACAATCATCATCGCCAACTTGATCATCTACCTTGACAAGGATCTTGCCTCTAGCATGAAGTCCACCGAGCTTCCTATAAGCTTCCTTGGTCTCCTCAAATGGCCAGATACTGTCTTTGACCAGTTTTATATCGCCACGGCCCAACATATCCGCGACAGTTTGACGATCATCAAGTGTAGGGCTCATCATAGATGTACCCAACCATCTCCGTCCAACACCACCGAGCCATGGTGATACTGGCCACCATTCGTTGAGCTTCATCTGCAGCACAGCGCGGAGGAAGTCCGGGACAAAGAAAGTTGGTGGTTTGATACCGACGGAGGAATAGTTGCCTCCGGGTACGAGATAGGATGGTGAGGCGAGATATAGGGCTTGATGGCCTAGGGTATCAATGATGGCGTTGAAAGGTTCTGATGAGAATCTTTCGGCGAGGTGCCTAGAAAGCTGGTCATGTTGCGTATAGTCGATAACCTGTGAAGCGAGTTAGTTGGCATTTCATTTCAAACAGGGCTTAACTCACCTCATCCGCACCAAGACTCTTGACCAACTCGACATTCTTGCCGCTGCATATGCCAACGATATATCCTCCAGGCCCTACAACCTTTCGGAGCATCTGCACGACCAGAGAGCCGATTCCGCCACTTGCTGCATTGACTAAAACACGATCGCCTGTCTTTGCTCCGGATTCCTTCACGAGCTGTCGTGCTGTCAAGCCTGGTAGTAAGCAACCAGCTCCATCAGCAAGGCTCACGCCCTCTGGTTTCTTCACAGCATATCTAGCTGGAATTCTAACATATTCAGCTAAAGCACCTGTTCCCGTAGGCAGAGTATGGCTGGCTGGCAACATGGCAAGAATCTTGTCACCCTTATTGAATCTCTTCGACTGTACTGATCCAGACTCATCATCAGGATGCCATAGATCGATCACAGTGCCTGAGAAGTCCATCTCAGGAATACAAGTTGGCTTTCGAATGAATGGCGGAACGAGAGTCATCTGGAATATGGCACCTGGGTTCAAGCCTGCAAAGGCCACTTTGACAACAATCCATTCTTCTGGGTTCGGCACATCTTTTGGCAGGGGAAGAGGAGGTGGTAAAGTTGGAATTGTCTGACTTGTAAGACTGAGGACGTCCCATGGTAGACCTCGCTCTGAAAATACCCAGGCTCTTGAATCTGTCATTTTGAAGTGTTGTTGATGAGGGGTTTGTGATACTGGACGATGGGTATTGTGGCGGTTAAGCCAAGCTATGTTGGGCTTTCAGCCGCACTTGTTAGTCAAAAAGTGTTAGCTGTCAATCAAGCTCGACCAGTCGGCATGATTCCTTTGCCAAGTCTTCGCTACATCTTCACATAAGACGGAGTATTGACGTCCGAAAACAACGTTGACGCATGAAAGCTCTATTCGCTGCAGAAAAGGAACACTTAGCAGTCACTTATGTTGATATTTGACAATTGATATAACACAACAGAATGGTCAAAATATAAATTAAACACAGACACGAAATTGAAAGAACCATGATGCTGTTTTTAACACATTGACATTGAAACAGCGAGTTGATGTTGGGATGACTACCCTAGACATCTGACGGACCCTGACTGCGATCTGTCCTATTTGCACAAATGAAAGATGGATAGATTATGCATACTCCTGAAACATAATCTGACTAGTGAAATCTACACCGTATGCCCACTGCTAGTTGGGAATTAGTTCGGGACAACATATCTGGGGCTTGATTGCAGCTAGCTCATTGGAGCGTTGGCGTAATTTGGACCTCAAATTGCATGGGGTCAACAATCCAATTTGCCACAAAAGGAGAAGCGAGATAACAACAACAAACAAATTCCGCCAGCCCTGATATCGTTGAAAGCAGAACAGATCCCCCCGTGTTTGACCCCTCCATCAGAAATGCGCTGTCCCCCGTAATACGGTAGCCTAGAGCCAGAGAAACCCCTAAGCGCCTATCAATTCAATCTCCACAGCGCAGAAAATACGGCTGCCTTCAGCGGCAACCCTGCTGTAAGACCTAGCAACCACAGCAACCAAAAGACCACTTTTCAGCAAAAACGACAGCGCACAATTATTCAGTTATCCGGCACAAATGAAATTAGCTTATTCCATATCAGCAAAATTTGGGCAGGCCAATTTATGTACATAATCAGACCACACCAAGGCTACCGCCTTTTCACCGCCAGGCACCGGAATTCTCACTCATTTTACTTTTTAGGCACCATTTTTACCACTTGGTCAATAAAGACGTCGTCCTTTGGCAAAGCCTCCTCAAGTCAGCTCCTCGATAACTTCACCACGTAACATACTCGCACCCCCGTACGCGTAAGAGGCAAACGTCAGCAAAAATGCGTGAGATTGTGAGACCTGAATTTTCTCTTTATTCGCTGTCGGATTTGAGTTTGACTGAGGCTAACCAACCCCCGTTTGACAGGTGCACGTTCAAGTCGGCCAATGTGTAAGGGCCACCCAACCAATTTTTCTGCTTTGAGGGACATGTGTTGAGTTGATGATTGCAGGGCAACCAAGTCGGCTCCAGTTTCTGGTAAATGCTACCGCAGGCGATTATTTTAGTGTAGAGACTGACTATTTATCAGGCAAACCGTCTCTGGGGAGCATGGCGTTGACGGCAGCGGCTCGTGAGTGAAATGAAGAGTCGGTGACCCTTATTTGCCTCAACCTAACAATTTCTCAAAGATACAACGGAACCGACGACCAGCAGCGAGAGCGCATCGACGTCTACTTCGCCGAGGCGCGTCTCCCCCTCTCACTCACCGTCTTTTATTTTCACTAACCGTCTCCCTTTAGGCCACAAAGGATAAGTACGTGCCCCGCGCGGTCCTTGTGGATCTTGAGCCCGGTCCTCAGGATGCCATCCGCGCCGGGCCCCTAGGCCAGCTTTTCCGCCCCGACAACTTCGTCGCCGGAAATGCCAGCGCCGGTAACAACTGGGCCAAGGGTCATTACACCGAAGGTGCTGAGCTCGTTGAGGAGGCCATCGATGTTGTGCGACACGAGGTTGAGAACTGTGACCATCTTCAGGGTTTCCAGCTCACCCACTCTCTCGGCGGTGGTACCGGCTCTGGTATGGGAACGCTTCTTCTGTCGAAAATCCGTGAGGAGTTTCCCGATCGCATGATGGCTACTTTTTCCGTTATGCCTTCGCCTAAGGTTTCTGATACCGTTGTCGAACCTTACAACGCCACTTTGTCATTGAACCAGCTTGTCGAGAACTCCGATGAGACCTACTGTATCGATAACGAGGCTTTGTACGACATTTACGAGAAGACCCTGAAGATTGCTGATCCTTCTTACGCCGATCTTAACTACCTGATCTCGACAGTTATGGCTGGCGTGACGACATGTTTCCGATTCCCCGGTCAGCTCAACTCTGATCTGCGCAAGTTGGCCGTCAACATGATTCCCTTCCCTCGACTTCACTTCTTCATGGTTGGATTTGCGCCTTTGACCGGTCGCAAGATGCAGGGCTTCCAACATCTTACCGTGCCCAGCCTTGCTCAGCAGATTTTCGACAACAAGAACGTCATGGCTGCTGCTGATTTCCGCAACGGTCGATACCTCACTTGTTCCGCGATTTTGTAAGTTTTGATTTGAAAAAATGCATGAGATGAGACGGACTAACGTGAGATTAGCCGCGGTAAGCTATCGACAAAGGAGATCGAAGACCAGATGCTCAAGGTGCAAACCAAGAACTCAGAGTATTTCGTCGACTGGATCCCCAACAACGTGCAAACCTCCGTCTGCTCTGTTCCTCCCAGAGGTCTTCCCATGGCCGCCACATTCGTCGGAAACTCCACCGCCATCCAGGAGATCTTCAAGCGCGTCGACGACCAATTCTCCGCCATGTTCCGTCGCAAGGCTTTCTTGCATTGGTACACCAGCGAGGGTATGGACGAGATGGAATTCACCGAGGCCCAGTCTAACTTGCACGACTTGGTCAGCGAGTATCAGCAGTACCAGGATGCTGAGATTGACGACGAGGTTGAGGAGTATGAGGGTGAGGGTGAGCCTGAGGAGTACGAGGGCTAGAGGGATTGGAGAGCTGGTTAAGATGATAAACTATTTGGCTTATTACTTCTTTATTACCCCCAAAATGCTTCGTCCCCTTCGAGTTCTTATATAGCATTCAAAACTGAAATTGGTTTACTTAGGCTTTGTTTTATAGCCGATTCATAATTATATGGTCCTTTTTAACTTTTGAAATCCCTTAATCATGCTTGACGTACATTGTGTCAAAGCCGACGTTCTTCCACTCGCCTGTCTCAGTGTTGAGAGTGAGATTTGTGTGCTTGACCTCTCCATATCGAAGAGCACCAGACTCGGCGCGACCACCAGCAACAGGACGCTTCAAGTGGTTGTCACCAGAGACGACGGTGAAGTTCGCCAGAGGGATATCCCAGGAGTTGCGAGAGGCAACAGAAGGGGAGCCTGAAGGTGTGAGTGAGACTCATGTGAGTGATCAGGCGTTTGAATCTTACCATAGAATCGGGACGAGACCTGCTTAGCATTCACATCCAGAATGAAGTACCCTCGGTAATAACCTTCTTGCCACTGAAGCTCAGGGTTCTTCTCAACTCTGGCGCGAGCAGCCTTGCCAGCTGCAGGCTCGATAGGGCCACCAACTCCGTTAGAGCTGACGGCGGTTCCAGCGAACTCGACACCAATGCTTCCGGCACCTGTCTTGTTGTCGTATTCCTTGGTTCCAAGCCAAACGAGATCCGAGACCTGTCATATATCAGATGAGTTGGGATGAGAATGGTGATGACACATACCCAGTTCTGGTGGCTGTCTCCAGCGAGGAAGATGTTGTTTCCAATATCGTTGTCGTACAGATACTCCAGAGTGCGGTTTCGGTTGGCGACATAGCCCTTCATAGGTCAGTACTTGCAACAAAACCAAAAGACTGGTCAGTCACTTACACTCCAGTTATCACCAGGAAGAACCTCGCCATTACCCCAATCCTCGGTGATACGCGAGAAGATGATCTGGTTGCCAACGATTCTCCAGGCGGCACCTCGGTCCTTAGACTTACTAAGAGATCGATAGAACCAGTTCTCCTGACGACCTCCCATGAGAGTGCGGCTGGGATCATCGCGGATCATGTCGATGTAGTTGTCGTTCCAGTCGAGGCTGGTGATGCTGCGGTCGTAGTTTCGAGTGTCGAGGATGATCAGATCTAGGAGCTTGCCCATTTGGAAAGATCGCCAAACTCGAAGGCCGTCGTCGAGATCAGTTTGGCTGATATGGAGGTTAGTTGAAGCTAGTTCTAGGGCTGGCTTTGATATTTACCGGATGGGCATCCACTCGAAGTAAGCTCGGACGGCGTTAACCTTTCGAGTGTCAACGGTAACCTTGCGGCCCTCCTTCAAGAAGGATTCTTCAGTATTGTTAAGACCAGAGAATCCATCTCTGTAGCCGTTGTTGGCGAACTCTGCCAATCGTCAGATAGACCTAGGGATGTGCCCGCGGGACTTACCGTGATCATCCCAAGTCGGGATCCAAGCAAAGTTCTGTGACAGAAGCTGCAGATCGGGATCTGTGCGGTACTAGTGAGATGTTCATGTGAGCGAATTCCCTTCCAAAAATCAGGCCGCGGAGTGACTAACCTGTCCATGGCGAGTTCGGTAGTCGTGAAGAGTGAAGATCTCAGTAGAGGGCTGGCTAGCCCGGCTTCCGTTGGCTCCATACTCATAAATATAATCTCCCAGATGGATAACATAGTCGTGCTCATCCTTTCTGGCGGCGTTGCCATAAGCGTTGAAGTAGCCATTGGCTGGGACCATTAGCTTTAGCTCTCAGCTTTATCAAGGATAGAAATGAGCTTACGGTAGTTGCTGCAGGAGAACACAGCGAAGCTTAGATCAGAGACGTCATTGTTGGCGGTAGGAGCAGTCTTGGTACGGCCAACAGGGCTCTTGACATTCGAGTCACAGACTTTGAACTGGTAGTAGTAAGTGGTGAGAGGCTTCAAGCCGTCGGCTTCAACCTAGAAATTGTCAGTCAAGATACCTCAGTCTCTGTTTTAAAAGATCATGCTCACTTTGACAGTGTAATCGATATCAGAGGTCGTATAAGCTCGTCCACTAGCGGCCGTCTTCCCATTTCCAGAAGCAGACTTGGACTCATAAACCTTCCACTCCACACAAACAGGATGAGGATCAGCCTTGATATACTTCTCAGTCTCATGACTGTAATGTCCCGCGGTGCCGTTCACAACATTCTCACTCTCATCAGACTTCGTGGAGGGTGCAACACGGGTCCAGAGGATGACACTCTGAGGCCAAGGATCTCCGGAGGCCACTCCGTGGGTGAAGTTGAGCTGAGAAGGATCATAAGGAGTGTTGCTGCGCTTCAAAGATCGACGCTTGACCAATGGAACATCGATTCCAAGACGAGCATGACGACGAGATGGACTGGCGTAGTTCAAGTTGCCGTCGAACTCGGCTGTCACAGCTGTAGCCAGAAGGCCAGAAGCATAGAGAAACACAGCAGACTTCATATTGACTATGACGAAAACCGTTTGATAGAGACAAAAAACAAGCTTATCCTGCGTATATGTCTCTTTTTAAGCTTGTAACGAGCTTCATCCCAACCCCGCCTCCGTTATCGTCCATGTTGCCGCCGAGATGCCGGTAGCCAACAAACTGGCCAGGCCCGTACACGTTTTCGTCCTGTGTATTGCATCACCACTCTTGTAGCCCTGGCCTGGTGTAACTGGGTCCTTGGTGTCACGGTCAACGAAAGAGGTAGCGATGTGACGTTGAGTGACCAGTAGGAAAGATAAGGATTGTAAGCATCGAATGCTAACGTTGGTTGCAATCCACGTGGAGGTTCGGAAGTTTTTATCTTGGTGTTGGTGTAATTCGACATCGTGGTGTGGTTTGAGAATCTCATTGGTTGTTTTGGTTGCATTGATGAGGTTTTTTGTCGTGCTGATTGGAGCTGCTACTATTGAGATCGAGGAGTGGAGACTATAACGGCAATGACTTAGCGAGTGTCGATCTGATGATGTCAACCTTTCTGGGCATCTAATAATCTACTTACTTATCTGAGGTGCTATTTGCCGAAGTCTTCCACGGAACTAATAAAGCAGCGAAGGCTGCATGTTGGTAGCTGGAGGGCCACCAGGATCCTTGCTTCAGATTGGCAACCTGGTTTAACAAAGTCTTCGAGTTTCTGGCGAGACGTAATCTGCTTTAGACTAAGATAATCAGATGAGAAAACGAGCCGACATGACAACTTATCAAGCCGATGCTGCTGTTGGTCATGGCAGTGCTGCAATTAACTACTCTACTTTTAGCCACCACGTGACCACTGTGTATCCAAAATGGACATGCGTCCCCAAGCTTCTATTCACCCTTCTTGGACAGCAAGGAATTGCCCATATATAAATCAGGTAAGATGCCCGTCCCACCGCCTCGGCCTAGGATATTTCGATGGGCCAAATTCAACCTCGAAGCCCTCCTGATGCTCGCAGAAAAACTTCGAGGTCGATCATGTACCTGCGATGAGTCCCAGGTCCCCAAGAGCGGTAGCTTGAACTGGGTTATATTCATCACCTTTGACGATGCGGTTGAATGGGTGTTTCGGTCACCGCGCTACGATATACTTATGTTCTCAGACGAAACCGCCTCCAAGATACTCATAAGTGAAGCGAGTACGTTGAAATATCTTGAAATCAATCCGTTGTCAAATTCCCGTTCCGAAAGTCTACTCATATAGGTAGGATGCAACTAAGCAGGACAAGGAAGTTCTATAATGACATGAAATTCAGTGGTACTCACGAAAATGACATCGGAATACCATATATTCTTCAGAGCAAAGCTTCTGGCCGCCCCTTGTCCGATTATCGTTGGACAGAACCTTCAGTCCAGCCTCCGAATATCAGACATCCCATATCTCAGCTCCCACTCTCAGAGTCAGACCGCGAGAGAATCATGAATCAGCTTGGTGCCATCATGTATCGCCTTTCAAGGGTCCATTTCAATAAGATTGGATCGTTGTTTGAAGATGATACCGGTGGCTTTTCGGTTGGTGAATGTCTATCCCCTGTTCTCACCTGGCAATCAAGGGACTCCCTCGAGAAAGAAATCGAACGGGGTCCTTTTACAGAAGAACCTGTATACCTTCGGTCTTTGATATCAGCTTTTACTTCTCACGCAGAGGAGCTACCACTGACACCGTATTTATTCTTCTCGCCACTACCCAGACCAGCTGACTATTCGACATGGGACAGCTTTCGGGCAGCTACCGATAGAAGGGGTGACTTCATAGTCATTGGCGATAAACTCGAGGGTAGTAAGAATCGACTGGACTACTGCATCGCAGGTCAGATACTAGAAGAAATGATACCACGACTGTCATCAGATTCGACTGGTTTCACGTTATCACACCCTGACCTCCACACCGGAAATATATTTGTCGATGAAGATCTAAATATCACATGCATTATCGATTGGGGTTCTGCAACAACATGTCCCGTGACTGAGCTGTTAGCGACTCCAGGGCTCGAAGGTTCCTCGAAACCACCTTCAGTAGCTCTCACAGCTGCCTTCCAGGCCGGTTTTTCTCAAGAACCCCCAAACATCAGCCGAGGTATGTGGGAGAGAGCCGAGATGATATGGTATTTTTCTCGCCTGGTACGTCTTCTGACCGGTCAGGATCTTCCCCTGTTCCGAAGACTGTATGATCTTGTTTATAAGACCAATGTTGTAAATCCATCGGACTCAAGAGATTATGGATGGCTATTTTATCAGCGGGCAACGACCGCAAGTAACAAACAGCTTCTATCCAGGCTGAAGGAAGATGATTTTACAGATGAAGAAATGAAAACGCGTGAAAAAGACGTCTTCTACGGAGACGAAGTGGACAGGTTGGCTGTAGCTAGGAAGCTGACGCTAATGTCTGAAATGAACCCGGGGTTTATTGGAGACAGGCGACTATGGCTGTGGATTGAAGAGGCCCTAAAAGAACCTGTGTATGATAATGACAATGGAAAATGATGCACTTATAGACAAAGTTCGCGGTGCTCGATAGATGACCTCCATTCTCGTGAGTTTTCTTGCGGTTGCAAGGGGGCACTGACTTGTGAATGCAAACGGATAAGCTCAAATAACGGAAGATAAAAGGGTTTGATAAGACCAGACACGGAACAGCTGGTGGAATTCAGCGGAAGTAGATCGAAACGCGTCGTGGTTCACCAAAGTTTTGGATGTCTTTCTTTCCTTTTTATTGAAGGAGTTACTTCAAGTATCCCACAAGGTTCCATGTTATGACCCTCCTGCTAGCCCTTTTTTGATCCTCAGAACTGTGCTGATATGACTCATAGCCAATTGGGTCTTTTCGTGCGTTGCAAGAAGTCTCGCCGTCTTGACCACGTTCTTGATCTGTCTCCCGTTGAGCTCAACACTTGCCAATTCATCCAGCTCATCTTCAGAAAGACTACTTTCGTCACCAATATTCACAAATGTCTTCCAGATGTGTAGTCTACTCGTGTAGTCCAGATTGGGATAGTGGATAGTGAGATGAATTCGAGACTCAAAAGCCGGATCAAAAGCTGAAACTCGGTTGGTCGTCAGAAACATGACACCCTCAAAGTATTCGAGGAGTCTAAGAAAAATCGACACGAGTTTGTTTCGTTTGATATCTGAGGTAGTTCGACGTTCAAGAAAGACATCGCACTCATCGAGAAGAAGGACTGCTCCCCATCTTGTTGAGAGCTCGAGAGCACAGTCTAGCTTCTGCTCAACTTCTTGGGCTACATCTCCCAATTCAGCAGCACTCATATTGTAAAGTGGCCTTTGCATGATCTCGGCAACTGACAGGAGATGATATTAGTAACATATCGTCAAATCCCATCTGACCAGAGTAATTACCAGACTCAGCTGTGAGTGTTTTCCCAGTTCCCGGCTCTCCACTCAGAAGCATGATAATCCCCCTTCCTGCATTGGATTAGTCAAACTCAATCTTCATTTCATCTTGCTAGCCTTGCCTTTGCCTTGAATTACATCGTCAAAATTGTCTAAGCCAGATATCTGAGCACCAACAAATGCCTGGATGATTCGTTTGTAATCGTGCGGCAGCACTAGCTGATCAAAAGCAGTCGAGCTCCATACAACGTCTTCGACGAGCTCAATGTCGAATAATCCTAAGTTTGCCGTGAGAAAATGGTATTGGGTAAGTATTCTGAGCCGACATACCCCATTCTTTAGTTTTCAGGCAGAATCCTTTCACGACGTTCGTACATAACGCGTACTGGCTTTCGGAGAGTCTTTTGTTGGATACATCTTATGAGACGATTAGCTTCAGTCAACCAATCTAGTCAAGGTTCCAACTCCTGGAGCAAAAGGCCTTTAGACTGCTTCGAGATCAGGATACGTACGCGAGCTTTGTGAGCCATTGGTCAAACCCGCTTTGGCGTATGGTCTTGTTGGTAGAGGCCCATAAGTGAGAGAATGAACAGATTTATCATGGTGCAGCTCATTACCATGAAACACAAAGCTTTTAGAGGCCTCAAGTGGGTGAAGTGGACCGGCAGGACCGCGATTGAACCATAAGAATGTTCTGGAGTCAATGATGATCCGCTCATTTGTCACCTACACAGCCGTTAAAAGACTGAAGAAGGAACCAAGGAGGTTCTGACATACATGTCGCTGCTCTGAGATCCCTGAAGTCGTGTGAGACAGGCTATACGTACCAGAATATGTCTTGTGGTTGATGCCTTCCAAGCTCTCAAATAGTTGACCACGCTGCACGAGTCGCTTTCTAACTTGATCGAAATCGGGACATAGACGTGCCGGGATCACCTCTAGCTCCAGGATGGGTATAACGTTCTCAAAAGGTGATATGGTCAAGGTTGTGTCTGTGTACCCGAACATATCTCCATCGGTGTCGATGAACCGTACACTAAGAACGTATGCCACTGTTCCATCTGGTGTCTTGGAGTAATTACCGCGGCTCAACTTGAGCAGCCTATCGCGACCTTCGATCTTGGTGTAGACTTCGACATCGGGCTCAAAGAGTGTCCACACATAGTCAAACGATATGACTCCGTTATTCAGAAGATCTGAGGCTTGCTCAATGCGCGGCTTGATCTCGGCATGTATGATATCTGCCAGAAGCTTGTAATGGGAACACTCCTCGGAGAAATCTGTTGAACTATTTCTCGGGTCGGCTTGGTTGAACTCATCCCATCTATAGAAAAACTCTCGAAAAGGCGCATGAAACTCGAGTTTCTTGAGGTTGGTGTTGATACCCTTGTAGCCTTTGAAAACCGGACCGAGAATTTTTTTGAGCAGTGGGCTCTGCACTGTGATAGAATGTAGTGAGAGGACCGATTCATCAATTTCGCCATGTTCCTTTTCGCGGCGGACAATGAGTGCGTACTTGGCTGAGGCTTGGGATGATCTTCCATCGACTCCGATTTCCTCGTCCGTCCACTCTTGCCAAGGGTCCCAGCTGCTCTTCCGGTAAATATCCTTAGTCTCAGCAGCCATACCGGCCTCCACCGGGTTGCTCGAGTTATTTGGATGATCATGGTTCTTTTGATTGTGCTCATCTGAGCGGGTGAACCAAGGACTGCCCATGTTTGCTGGCTGAACAACAGAATGGAAAAAGAACGCGTACCAGGGCTTCTAATGATCAGACTAGTCGGTCAACTGGAATCCAGAGAGTTTTGATTGATTACATCGAATCAAAAGACCGGCCGTTGACAGTTAGTTTTAGTCCGTAGTGCGAGGTCTCCTCTAGTAGAGGCTTACGAGCAAGAAGAGCGCACTACGTAGCAGCATGTGAAGACTTGTCTCAATAAAGCGACAAACTGCCCATCCTCCTTGCAGGTAAGTGATCTGACCTGTGATTGAACATGCGTGTATACGTCTCATAGAAACAAAGACAGCTGAAAGGCAGCTTGGAGCCCAACAGCTGATTGGCGATCTGCAGGTGCCCAAAGAAGGATGTCAATCGTAACCCAATGAAGAAGCGTCATTTAAAAGCTGGCCAAGCTATCGATATCTGATATTGCGTGGCCCCGCTCACCCCGTCCTATCAAAAAAGGGGGTGTAGAGTTTGTTCAGCTTGCATTGTAGCTCATACTTACATATCACATTGTCAAATGACGGTGTGTAGGCCTCAATCTCTGCTGCCAGGCCTGCATTGCCGCACTGCTGCATAAGCCCAGTTTGGACACATCGTATATCATGAACAGCTATTTGAGGCTTTCCGGACCTCCCGGGAATTACTGCTTGACTAAGTCATGCTGTAGAACACCCAGAAATGGCTTAGGGGCGGAACCAATCCGAAGAAGGTGTCAGCTCTTTAGATTGATCATCGTCAGGGATCACAGATGCTGGTACCCTGTTCTTTTGCACATATCATGAATAAGTCTGACTCACTATCCGTACTTTCTACTCAAAACGTACAAAAACCCAGTAAGTAATGCATATACTTATCCATCTGTGATCTAGCCATACAAAAAAATGTCTCGAATGTTTTATTTCTGACTATGCGCACCCTCTTGCTAACTGATAGCTGAGTATCCATGCTTAATCCCTCGCTCATACGACTCCTGTAAGATCCTCGCCCGCTTCTTCCCTCGCAAAGAACTCTCATCACCATCATAGCCATTGTCTAGATGATGTTTCCGAGCTGTCTGCGTCGGATCTTGAGGCTCACTTCTTGCTTCGCTGGACAACTCACCAACTGAGACCTGGTAGGTTCCTGAATTCGGTATATCTATATCCATGTCAGTTATCAATTGATTTTCAGATCCATGGTAGTCCATAGGTGTAGCGTCTACCGCTTCCTCGCCACTCGTTCCTAATAGCTCTTCCAGCCAGTTTCCAGTCGTATACTCTAGTAGGATGTCCTCGATCGGAATCCCTCTCATATCAGCATATAGACGACTAGCTATCTCAAAATGAATCAGATCTTCGTGCTTACGCAGTTCTTTATGCTTGAGGTAATTCTGGTAATATCGAAGGGCCTGACACAAGAAATCTTCCCGGTCGAGTAGGGCAAGGCTTTTCTCAATGACGGAGTGGGTGATTTCAAACCTGGGTTCAGGCAATTCCATGTGAGGCGGACAGGTTATTATTAGAATTGACCAGTAAAGGCACTTTGAAAGCTCTTCGCGGTCGTCTCTGTCCATTTTGGGAGATTGTTAGGTGTCGGCATTTGCTAAGAGATATGGTTTGAGCATAAGAAGTAGGCTGAGTATTTGTAGTTCAAACTAACCTGGTCTTTCGACTTTTGTTCACTGGCCTAGTATATTAGGTGTGATTGTGTTCGACTGTCTCAAAGACTAGCATCGTTGCTTTTTTGTTCAGCTTCTTAGTGAGGCAATCATGCATGTTCATACTGCAATGTATTCATTTCTTCATTTCAAAAATGTCTATCTTGTCCTCAGAGAAATAAGAACTCACCATAGAAATTTGATTGCTCTTAATGTGCTTAATTTGAGTTCTGTCGTAGTAATCTAAATGTGGACTAATGCAGCCGTGAGACTTTGATCTCTGAGAAGATGGCGTTCTCACTGGTGAGCCTTGTGAATATAGTTGTATCAGCTATCTGTGCTACCCAGGGGCATCACTGGTGAGCCATGCTTCTTAGATTTGAGGGGTGCCACGGGCGAAGAATCCACGAGAACATTGATAACAGTAGGTCCATCTCTCATCAATGCTTCTTTGAGTGCTTCTCGCAGCTCCTTCTCCCCTGTAACCGTAGATCCCTCACACCCAACTGCCCGTGCCAATAACTCAAAGTCTGTATAAGGAATGCAATATGGAGGTGGGACATCTCCCGAAGCTTGAGACGTTTGATCAAAAGTATCATATTGGCTGCCATTCATGACTAGCCAGATGGCTTTCGATCCATATAGAACGGCGGTGCTCACCTCTGACTGCTTCAACATTGCTGCGTCACTAACAATGGCCACCGCGTGATTGTCCGCAAGGCCCATGCCGACAACACCGCAGACAGCGTGACCCAAGGGAGCGGAATCTAGGTTTGATCGATAGAGCCCAGGTTTGGGGAATTTCAGGTAATGGGCTGTCCAGCAGAGACTTTTTCCGGCTTCGGCGATGATCGAACATGCACCTCGATTGATCGCGACCTGAACAACATACATGATTTTTGATGGATGGATCCGTCCTTTTGATGTAGCTCGCATTGGTGGGATCGTGGCCTTTGGTATGGCCGGCTTTACAATTCTGTGCCCAGTAACCTTTATCTCCAACAAGGCTCTAAGAAAGAGACCAACCTCAGCTTCAATAGCAACCGAACCCTTGGGCATGTTTCGTTTGACCTCGGAAGTCTCCAAGCTAACACAGTAGAAAACCGTATCGACCCATTCGCACTGGATAAACATGGAACTCAGCTCAGCCGCCTTGGATCCAAGAAGAAGGACCCCTGTGGGCGGATTAGCTCTCATCGTAGGGCTAAGCGATGCCCCTAAACCTGTGTGCCTTGATACAAGGCATGAGTCTCTGGGAAAATCCCCTTGGCGCGGGGCGTAGCAAGAACGGGGAGATCGTATCGTTCTGCAAGCTTCATGACAAGAGCCGAGGCACCACGACAGCCGTAACCGATCCAAAGTACAGAGCCCTTGGTTTTAAGCATTTCAACAACCCCCTTGCAAGCATCAAGGGCCTCCTTGGACAAAGAGGGAAATGGGAGAAGTTCGAATTTCGGATGTTGTTGCGGTATGAGTGATTTGCTTCTGGCGTCAGTCAAGAAAACACCCAAGACGCCCCCAAGTGGATCACGTCTAATCAGCATCAAGGTTTGTCGTAGTCGCCATACATCCAATTCGTCCCTGACGATCACACAGCAGCTGAGTGCACTATCGGCAGTTGGTCCAGTTAGCCCCTCCACATCCATTGGAAAGGTCTCCTGAACAAGTCGACGACCTGTTCGATCAGCCTCCTCGCTCGTCAAGCCAGCAATGAAGACGATACGTGCTCCGTCTGCACGAGCACAACGTAATCCAGTGATAGCATTCGTGATTCCTGGCCCGCTCGTTACGAAAACAACAGCGAATTTGCCAGTCTGTATAGAATACTCTGCCGCGGCAAATGCAGCCCCTGATTCATGGTGAAAGTGGTAAACTTTGATCTCTGGGCGATGTAGGGCTTTCCAGATGTGGTGGATGTTGGTTCCAGAGACGCCGGAGGCTTTATCACAACCAAAGGCGGGCAGGCACTCAACTATTGCATTCGCGTAGGTCTGCATGGTGGAATGTCTGAGTTGGTGAGGTGCTAAGATTAGGTGTTTTGGGTCAGAAAAGAACGAAGAGCCAAGACTCGGGGTCATACACCTGCCGGCCGTTCCTCCGTCACCTGGTGATTATTGAGATATACAGAAGGTAATATGGGGGACATATGGGCAACACTTGCTGCACTAGTGTCATACACAAGGATAATTAGGTAGGTAGTCAACCGGGGATCACACTTTCTCATCCTGAACGAAGATCAACATGAGTTTTCTGGATTTACAGAGTGTTCTTGTATTTCAAAAACGCATAGGTACCATAAGAAAGCAAAGACGTCCTGGAATTGAAAGCAGCATTATCACCAAGATCTCCCGCGTTGGAAGGAGTTTGACGGTCTGGCACCACGACACGCAGTATCTCTGGTAAAGGTGACCAAGGCCTTGGTACAATTCAGTACCTGGACCCAGAGGTGGTCGTGGTAATTGTTAGGATATTCCAGAATGTCAAAGCTTGACGTTGCGCGGAGTCAGGTCAGTAATCTCACACTTCAGTGTTAGGGTAAAGTCAGCAAAATGCCCAGAGTCTTAGGTTTCTTCAGCGTCGCCAGGTAGCATATATTATAATCTGACCACGTGATTGATCAATAAATCTGATGTTTGCTTCTGTTTGGTGATTGAATATAGATGAAATGAGGTGTCGGGAAATCAGTAAGTGGAGGAGAGGCCCAACCCAAGCCCAGGGTGTCGCATCCGTGGAAGCCGCGGAAAGCGCTAAGACTTGGAATACGAAGGCAACAAGGCATCAACCACGGATCAACCACTTTTACTGACATGACAACAACTCATCAAAATTCCGTCCTAAGCTGCAAGCAATGAGATTAAAAAGCATGATATTATATTCATACTCCTTAAAACCATATCAATAGCCAACAATTGCTGCCTTGTGCCAAACACCTCCATACACCTCTATCCAACTTGAGATGTCTTCAACAATGGAACCTAACAAACCTGCTCTCAAAATCGTTCGAATAAGCTCTCGTGAGCAACTCGAAGAGCTCGTCGACTTTATTTGCGACGCCTTCATGGAAGACGACCTGTTCTGCGCCATGGTCCCTGGTCGACATGAACATCCCGAAGCAGCTCGAAGCATGTGGCGCATGACCCTCGTCGAGGAGTACGGTAGGAAAGGCTCCGTGCTTCTCGCTGCTCGTCTTCAAGGAGAGAACGGGGAAGTGGGCGACTTTGTTGCCTGTGCAGTTTGGTGTCGTTGTGGAAACAGTGATCTCGCTCGAAGCTGGCAGGGAGATAACTGGAACAAGCGTGAGTTAGCATTGGATTTCTGAGAATGGCAGTATAACTTACTATGATCAACAGGCATTGCCAGGATTGAAGCTGCGTGTACCATGTTTTATTGCTTCTCCCTTCGACAAGCAGGTCCCGGTATCGCACTAGACGCCTGCATCGCAGCAGGAGCAGCCGCAGAGCAAGCCTACAAGTTCTACCCCGATGAGCGCTGGCGTCTCAGCCTCCTAGCTACCTCGCCCAAATGCCAGAGAACCGGCATCGGAAAGCGTCTTGTCCAGTGGGGCCTTGACCGCTGCGAGGAGGAGGGAGTCCCAGCGACGCTCGAGTCCAGTGTATCAGGACGACCACTCTACGAAAAGATGGGATTTCGAGAGGTAGGCATTGTTAGCTTTTATGAAGGCAAGTGGTCCATGCCTGCCATGCTCAGACCTGTAGAGGAGGACAAGAAGACGGTTTAGAAGACAGCTTTGTCAGATTCAAAGGCTGAAGGCATGGTTTGAAGCAGCCGGGATCAGTGATTGCGAACAAGGGCATATGCTTGATATGTATGATGGATGGCATGGCGTTTAATTCCTGATTATTCGGAAGTTCTTGTTGTATTTGCTACGCTATTAAATTCGTGATGATGAAAATTAGTGTTTGGGTCGACGGCTTGCAGATGACGAACATCAGGTGTTAATGCTGGTGATATTGAAGGGGGGCCCCCACAGAGAACCTTGGTTGGCCGTGACTTGGAAGGCTTCCAAGTGATGGGCTGGCTTGAAGTGCGGGGAGCTCCTTTATCTTGATGCTGTGCTAGACCATCTTCGCAGACGCGACCCTCCACTGCAAGGTGAGGCTCGCCATCAAACTATTAACACTTTACTCGGGCAAACATGGCGATCAGAGATGTATGAGTCAAATATGTATACGATTGATTGAGTTCAGCTACTTACGTGAGAGTAATAATGTTTCCCCCTTCCCATACCACCACGAGCAAGATACTGTGATCAGGAATTCCCTGAAAGTCCATGGTGGGCATTGTTGAGAGTGTTATTTTGAGTTGATAGACCTGACAGCTGATGCTTGCATCGCGTGCCCTCCTGGAGGTGAGATTGACAGGATCATCCTACTGCAAAGCTCCCCAAACATGTCCATGGTCTTGGACGTAGCCCCCTCCATGATTATATGGATTGGCTCTTCCTCATCAGACAGCATGATCTTAGCGCAACGCATCGCATCGCCGTCAAAGGTTGGGGGCGACATTGTTATGGCGATGAATGGTAATGAAGAGTAAAATGAGCAGATGTAGAAGATTGGGGAAGGTGTAAACAGAAAGTAGGGGTGCTGGGTCGTCGACCTCCACGAAACTGCACGCTCCGGCGTGACAGCGTACTGGGGTGCCTGTGTTTACGCAGTCCGGTCCATGGTAACAAATTCCACGAAGGCGTCCATAGTCTTGGACGTTGCCCTGTCCATGATGATGTGGATAGGCTCCCCAACATCTTGCAACATGCGGCTGTTGCGACCAATAAAGGCCCCAGTCTCTCACCCTGAAATCGGTTTGTCCGGAGCGAGAGGAGTGTGGCTTGTAACCGCTTGTCGGGGGATGGGCGGACTCCAGCTCCTCATACTTTTCCACCACTCTGAAAGACTTGGCTCATTCCGCTGACTTGCAGTCTTCTTCGGCTCCCTCTCCGACACTTTGCTCTCCTTTCAAGAGTATAGCACAGATGTCATCTTCTTGGACAAGGCTCACCAAGGTGCCTCGAGGGGAGGCCCAAGGGTATAGCACCTATGTCATCTTCTTGGACAAGGCTCACCAAGGCTGCCTTGAGGGGGCCATCAGCAGATGAGGGCAAGGCTGAGCCACAGACAAACAGGGGCGAAGTGCCACCTTCACTGTGGGCTTAGTCACGATGGAGCTTCTGCGACCACACAAACCTCCACCCCTACTCTGCGAACCAACAGGTGAGACCGAAATTGATCTCAGCCCGCAAGAACTAAGAGTAGGGGTGAAGTCTGGTGGTCGAGTCAATTATGTCCTCCTACAAGATAACAGGGTTAATATAAGATGACGAGCTTGTCTTTGACTGGGGATAACGTACTCGGAGTTCGTCGTACCGGAGGCGGTTTAGTCGGTTCTCCTCCTTGAGTCTGACCAGGTCTGCACGACCTGGCCAGACTAAAGGAGGGTATCACCCGACGCAAGCAAAGCGCGGGGGGGTTAAGGTTCACCTTACGTGTATCGAATGATGGCAGCGCAAGCAGGGTACAGTCCCAGGTCCGGGTCTGAGTGTCACCCACCGTCGTATGACGTGGGGAGAGAGTGTGGGAAGTTCACCACTGTTATGTTATAAGCGGGGTGGTTCTGCGTCGAGGACATCTATTTGTCAGCTTCTGTGTGGTAGTTAAAGTACCGCGGGATGTAGTTACCTCTTGTTTCGCGTGTAAAATGACAAGTGTTGTATGATAAGTTGGGCTCCACCGAAGTTGGCCGCCAGCGTGGCGTAAGGGAGTATTATGCCATGATGCAATGTGCTTTGCTGGTCGAGAATTTACCGACTGAAGTGATGGGAGCAACTTGAGCAAAGGTAGTCTGTTTGTTTGTAGAAAGGTGAGGCTGCAAGCTCAGCTCTGATAAGAACGAGGTGACTTCTGACACTCTTGCGAGGGTTCGTTGTTGATGGAGCCAAGTGCTTCTCATCGTGCTTAGTGTTTGGGAGAAATGGGTAATAAAGGTTGCCAAGTGGGGCAATGTGCTACCAACTTTTGAGGCAAAGTATGTGGGAGGGGAGCCTGTGACGGGGGCGAGGAAGATGAAGTAAAGAGAGATGTCTTTGGTCAAAGCGAGTCTTGTGCCCGTGACGTGAGTGGAGGTATCTGTGCCTCTAGTGCAGAGGAAATTTCCTTGCAAGAATTTGTCTGCTTCTGTGATGCTTGTTAGCTTGGAAGAAAAAGACGCGTAGCGATGTCGAGTTGGGCGCCAACTAGTCGCAGGCTTGAGAGTCAAAGACGAATGTGAGATTTGTACTTACGTGGAGGGCTCACCTGGCCATTATATGTGACGGGGTGGTAGAGGTGATTTGTGACGCGTCTCTGGTGGGAGAAGATGGTGTTTTGTGCATGGTAGCTTTCTGCTTGGGCGCTTGATATACGCAGCAGACGAAGGGAAGAGGTAGATGTGGAAGGCAGCGTGCTTCAAGGCATGAGAATGGTGAGATCGGTTATGAAGGTAAAGAGAAGTCATGAAGACGCGTTTAGCTCTGTTACTTCATTGTGTCTAGTGAAGGGATTGCCTAACGCATGAAGGGGGAGAAGCGAGAGGTGGACGAAGTGAGGAAGGAAGAGGAAGGAAGAGGAGGGGAGATGAGGGGAAGGGGGAATTTTATCCCTGTGCTCGCACTTCTCAGTTGTGTGGGAGTTGCAAATCGGAAGGAAGGTGTGGGAAGATGATAAAAGAGGGCTAGGCAGTAACCTGCTCATAGGCAACGCGTTGTTAGGGGAAATCAGGAGTGTCTCATCCGGCCAGAGAGAAGGGGGAACTCGGTCTTTTCTGATGCAATTTTGAAGATATGAAGATTGCGATGCGATGAATTAAAATCAAACGGAAAAGTGCATCTATTCGTGAATGTGCATAAAAAAAGAAGCCATGCTGAAAGTGACTTTCGGGGTTGGGGGTGATGTCAAAGGAGGATGACGGGACGCTACAGGGAGCTCACACAGAATTATGGGACCACGACAGGGGGAGAGGGGCCAGGCACACACTCTTGGGCCAACCAGAGCGAGCCCTAACTTGCCGAGCTCACCCCACGGATCTCACCAAGACATGGGTAGCTCGAGTTCCAAGTTTTGGGAGCTTCCCTTCCATCCATTTCACTCACTCATCATTTTTACCTCCGCCTCCTCGCTTCACCTCACCTTGCCTCACACATCTTCTCCAACTTCACTACATCTACAGCCATGCCTCGTATCAAAGCCCCCTCAAATCTCCCTGAGCTTGTCAAATCCACTTTCACAAGAGCTCGCTCAGATGGTGATTTGCATTATTTCCCCACTCAAGTCGCCATCCTCAATGTTGATTCCATCCCCGTACGTATCATCCTATCTTTTTTCTCACTAGATGAATGAGCACCACAATCCTATAGAACCGCTACTGACACGAAAACCAGTTCCAACTTCGCTTCTCGCCTTCCCTGGCAAACAAACCAAAGCCGCCGCCAAAGGACCTCACCAAACCTCAAAAGCCCTTTGACCCCTTTGAGAACCCACTTCCTGCTCTCAAGGTCACAGATCTTGGGCCCTCCCACTATCTTGTGCTGAACAAGTTTGCTGTGGTTCCTGAGCACTTCATTCTTGCTACGACAGAGTTCAAGCCCCAAACTCATGTCCTCGAAGAGTCTGACCTTGAGGCCACACTCGCCTGCATTGAGGCATATGAAACTTCCAGAAGAACCCAGGCAGAGCAAGGCCACCGTGATGGCACACTCGGCGGAGGTGATGGCCTCTTTGCGTTTTTCAACTGCGGTGACCACTCCGGTGCCAGCCAACCTCATCGTCACATCCAACTCCTACCCATTGCCAGAATGAAAGATGGCTTCGAGGCTGACACTCCTTGGTCTGTTCTCGCCGATGAGCTCAAAACCAAGATTGCTCCCTTTGCTACCTTTGCCGAAGACATCAAGCTTGGCATGTCTGGTGCGGAGTTGCACTCCACTTATCTCCGACTCTACCGCAAAGCCTGCCGGGCTGTTGCTGTTTACACAAAAGATCCCCTTCACACTGAAGAAGCACCAGCTGAGGGTCCCACAAGAATCAGTTACAACATGGCCATGACCAAAGACACACTTGTTGTCTGCCCCCGCCTGGCAGAGGGCGTTAAGCTCCAAAGCCAGGACGGTGATATACTTGGTACCGTCGCTCTCAACGGCACCCTTCTTGCCGGTACAGCACTGGTCAAGAACGAGTTGGAGTGGGAAACTCTAAAGAAAGATCCCGAGACGCTACGCAACGTTCTTCGAGACATCGGTGTGCCAACCACATTTGATAATGGTGGAGAACTTCGCTTGTAGTTTTCGGCAAGCCTGCAGCCTCTAAATCCTCACGGGTTGAGGCGTGCGCTGTAAGCATCGGCTGTCAGCTATCTCAACTCAAAATGACACTTCTCAAAAGATGCTCCGAAAAAGACGAGCCTTTCCGTTTAGGCCAGTCATCCACAGAGCCCATCTGCTGGCGGTCCAGGCAAGCCCTGACTGCATCTCCGCGTCATCGTGACAGTGGCCGATACGGCGGAGAACGCGAGAACCGACGCACCGGAAGCAACATGGAACCCATCGGAAGCCCCACAGGCTCCGGCAGTGCTTCGAGCGCCGTGGAAGAATCGCCTGCTAAGAAGAAGATCGAAGCTCGGTCGGGTCTTGACCTGCTAAGAAGAAGATCGAAGACTGGCGGGGTCTGGAGCCTGCAAAGCTGTACAGAGGGGCACACGGTGGAAGGCTGCCGAGGAGCTTGGTATTCGCCTTGCGGAACTGCATGACTTCCTTGCCAGCCCCGAGGGCAATGCTTACATGACCCAGCTTTCTGGGATGTCTGCTCCCCAGCAAATCTGGGTTGTGAGCTAGATGCGTCATTTGCAGTTGAGACCTGTGGCTGAGAGCTTACAATCACCACACAGAACTTACACGGGAGCCGACATCGAATTCGACCAAGACAAACCAGCCTACCCTACCAGCTCCCCAGCAAATCTCTTCTGGGGACGACCAATCCCAGGGGCAGTCTCCTTGGGGACGACCAACCCCAGGAGCTGCCTCCTTGGGGAGCTGGTGAAAACAGCACGCGGTGGAAGTCTGCAGGATCAGGTATTGGTCAATGATGGAGGTGATTATGAAGAGTAGGAGGGGGGGAGCCACAGAGGAAAACGATAGTGATACTATGGAAGGGTCTTCGTCCACCACCACAAACAACCATGGCTCTACCAACTATGAACGGGTCCTTGACGGAACCCTTCCATCTGAGTGGCTCCCCGATATCTCTTGCAAAAGTGTGGGGGGTTGATGAGTTTGGTGGAAATGGAGGTGATTACGGGGAGCAAGGAGGGGAAGCCGCCCAAACGAAAACACCGGCCTTATCGAAGGGGCTCTGTCGACCCAATCAAAAAAAGAAAAAAACGCCAAGGACAGAGCCCTTTCATGGCGGCGACCCCTCGAGCTCCTGTCATAAAGTTGGTTTTGGGGGGATGTCAAGGGCAGGGAGGGAGCACAAAGTGTGGAGGACTGGTCAACATGAGGGCATCGATACTTTGGAGGGGACTCCGTCAACATCGTTCAACAAAAAGGCAAAGGCAGAGCCCCTCCGACCTCTAGTCTCCGCAACCCTCACCGTTCGAGAAACTCACCAGTTCCGTTTCCAACACTATTGCATATGTCCCCCCTAAGCATCTCTCTGATGCCTGGAACGTGCAGCCCTTCAACCTATTCACCCATTCGTCGAACTTTGCCTACGGTGCGCCTATCCCCCGACGTGCGGTTACCAG